GGCATATTTGAACTAAAGAAAGAAAAAGTAAGAGGAGGAGGGTGAAAATAACGCAGTGGCAAGCTTCACGGTATGTACTGATCATATAATATTATTATGGTGTACAAATTAAGGAGGATGAGCTGAGCGGCACACGTAGCAGCAATATGAATGATGAAAAATTAATACAAAATTTCAGTCGGAATTTCTGAAGAAGAGAGACTACTTAGACGATTTAGGCATAGACCGAAGCAACTCGTATTATAGGTATATAGCTTTGAATGACTATGACAGGAAACAATAAATTGGAAAGAGTGTAAAAGGAAGAGATCATGGGCTAACTTAGGGTGCTACACAAACTAGAGTCTAGGAAAAACCATGAAATACGTTATCAGAATATTCTGTGTCCCGATCAAGATTTGAACCGGACACCTCCCTAGTACAGCACGAAGCGTTACCGCTTGAGCCAAGTTTCTCGCTGGAAGATAAAGTTAAAATGAATACTAAGAAATGAAATGTGAAATAGGGTGCCCAGGGTAGGGGCCATTGGAACACGATCACTGCCGCTTTGGAGCATTGGGTGGATTTCTCAGTTTCTTGATAATTTGACGTACGGTAGGACTCCTTGGACGGGCGATCAGCTCGTCACGAGACCTCTACCTATACACAGGACAACACAAATACAGAATAACGAGAGCATACACCAAACGTCAATGCTCTAGGTGGGATTCGAACCCACGATCCCGGCTTTCGAGCGAGCGAAGACAGTAAATGCCTTAGACCGCTCTGCTACCGTGACTGGCGTCGTAAATATTAAGGTTCGAAACCAGCTTGAACATCTTGACTATGTAACTGGCAGCCAGTAACATGTTGTAAGATCAGTCACACTACTGGTACACAGCACAGTCATAAATTGTTTCCGATTTTATTTCGTTCCGTCCCAGCCCGCATAAAATCGTTAAATATTTTATTAATTGTTATATAATTTAATTAAATCTCTGTGTTATTACAATTTTTTCTATAATCCATGTGAAAACATGTTATATTGGATTTAAGCTTCTTGTAAATTAGAGGTTATACTTGAAAGGCCCTAGTGGAACTGGGGGCGCACAATGGACTCGAGAGTCGTATGGGTGCTCGGGATGAATAAAAGTTACCCCCTCCCATTTCAGCACTTAATACTCAGGGGTTATATCAAACGGCAGGCGTATGGATCAAAATTAAGTTTGACAGAAACGTTCATTGTAGAATATCAATACAAGAATTCACTGATATTCTCTGAGTAGTTTTGAATATGAAATATGAGGATGGATACAGAACGACACAAGTGTCACGCCATTAGGTGATCAGTTTAAGCATTTCGTGCATAGAACGCATAACAATTAATTTTAAAATGCAATGCTATTTTTATACATCACGCACAAAATTATTTACTTATGTATTTTATGAACGATTCCCTCATATTATCTGGCAATTCAAGTTCGCAAAGGTGGTGGCCTTAAAACTGTCACAGTGATCTATAATTTGACTTCATTATCATAGTTATTGAACCATTCCATGTTATATACAGACCTCCTTGTGAAGAAAAGGAGCTCTGCAAATTTATTCCTCATGTACTCGTGCATTCAGTTGGAACTTAATAGGTTAATTCTTCGGTAGTGGGCCGGGGTAGATCGGTCGGAATAGCGACGGGCTACGGAGTGGACAGCAGGGGTTCAATTTATGGCAGGAGCAAGAGATTTCTCTTACTTATAGTATCGAGACAAGCTCTGGGGTTCACCCTGCCTCATATCCAAGGTACCGGGGTTAAAGACGCTGGAGCGTGAAAGTGTCTACTCACTTTAATCTAGTGCTGAGGTCAAGAATGGTGGAGAAATAACTCCGCCCACTCACTCGTCTTAATGACGTGTAGTTTTACCTTCACCTTTCATCGGTAACGTGTCGAGTGACAACTGATAATCAACAACAATTTTCGGCGATTACGAGTAATTTCAACGTGCTAGATATGTTCGTGCTTCAGGCTACGCTTTCAGGCTTAAAAACAGGGACAAATTATCGGAAGTGTTATCACAGTGGTAGCCCGTCAAACTCGCTTACTAAGCTTGAAAATTTGACGGGTGCAGCCTATCTCCTCTAAGTATCGAAACAATGCGTTGAAATGGGCCACGGCCGGTTCTGCGATGTAACTAGCTAATTTTCGTTAGAACCATCGCCCTATATGATTTGAACGCCACATAACAACAGTTGATAGAGTGTCGTAAAATAACTATATAACCAAATTTCATGGACAATCAATGATCTCCAAAGCTGAACTGCTCATGCAAACATCTCAGTGAAAATTATACAGAAAGTGTAGTGAACATCCGACCCCAAGTAATTTAGTGTAAATTGGAACTTGTGACAAGCATTGGATTCAATCACATCCATCAAACTTAAATGAGGCGCTTCTATGGCCTACCATTTCTGTACGCATAATGATGTGCAGTGTTTTCCACTGAACTAAACTAACTACAGAGACGGACTAAGAATACTGATATACGTGTATATCCTGCATAATGTATAGTTACGTATAACTCTGAGCTCGGGTGTCCAGAAGTACCGTTCATATTTCAATGCTAAGAGGAACACCATTGTATCCCGTTTAGTCCACCTGTACAAGAAATATGGCGAAGGTCACCTCGAGGGTAGCTTGGTTGGGAGAGGCAAAACATTTACACAGAATTCTGATATCAAATTTTCTGGAAAAGTAACCATGGGGACGAGCGAGAAAGAAGAGAGGAGATAATATGAAGATGGGCGGATTAGGACGGATAATAAGAATGCCACCTGACTCAGATTTCTGTCCAATGTTGGGCTTAGGTAGTAGTGAGATTTTTTACCTCAGTCAGTAACAAAACTTTTCCTCGTGCATCCGGAAATCGCCGTCAAATTCTTACCGTACTGGAAGTTGTAGAAAGTATCGTTCTTTGGGTATCGATGAAAGTAAGAATACATCTAACTTTGTAAAGTAAATTTCAAAATAATTCTCACTCCTTTATGTAAACTGGAATTAACTACTGCTTATTAAATGTAATCAAGCATGTGAACATTATATAAAAAATTGCAACTAAATAAGACATAACTGAAAGAACCAGAGATGTAAATATACTAGCATGAAACAATAGAGGAAAAATAATAGATATGTAAATATCATCCGGAAGACATTCAGAAGAGCTTCTCTATGAATATTTCATATGTTGCTGAAAGATGCTGTATTATCTACGAACTTCTTTGTATCAAATTAAATAAGTTATATCTCATCTAAGTTTTGGTGCCGTTTTCAAAATAGAATGTTTTAAAACAACATTTTTACTTTTTTTTTTATTAGTTCACGGAACACATATGTCGGATATGACTACTTTTAAATATAAATATACGATTTTATCGACTGTACTCGTATAGATTATTATCCGTGAAATGGAAGAATGGTTGTGAAGGACACATTGAAAAGAATGTGAAAGGCAGCGGTCGTGGTCGATTAAAATACAATCGTATATCGATATCTATATGTATAAACTGAAAGAAAAAACTTACAGTCATGTCAGTTGGGATAATTGGAGAGCGCCGAGATGTGAACCACGAACTACCTGACTATACAGCTGGAGTGTCAACCACTACATATACTACACATTCAAGTTGTAAATATGTATCACGAGCCGTTCAAGAGCTACAAGAGTATGCAAACGAATACAGAGACAAATGGAATTTCAGAAGCTAATTTCGGATGGTGAAATACACCGAAACAGAATGTTTCATGATCACAGCACAATCAAATTCATTCTATGTAACTAAAATCTAGTGCATTAATTCACAATCTCTTCCTCCCAAATCTAATCAGAAACATAGTTTGTGAACATTCTAACATCGACCATTATCACCTATCTCGCAGAGACACGGCCGCGCCGTAGCTCAAGCGGTTAGACGCTGAATTCCCATCGTGGTGGCCCGGGTTCGATCCTGGGTCTGGTCAAGTAGGATTTGTGGTGGAAAAAGTGGCGCTGGGGCAGGTTTTCTCCAAGTACTTCGGTTTCCCCTGCCAATCTTCATTCCACCAATTGCTCCACAATCACCCTCGCCTATCATCTGGGGCTGGTACAATAGGTCAGAAGTGGCCGCAGTGCAAGGGACTCAGTCCCACCCCACTAGCGATAATAAATACATAATAATAATCTCGCAGAGACATTGAATTATTGATCATGGTTACTCAACATACGTGTACTAGGGGCCTCCTAGTTTATGATATATTTATGTGATATGTTTGATTTATTCAGGCACCGAATAAGAAGTGCGAGATTAACGGCCGTGGGGATCCGTTGCGCTGACCACGTGACATCCTCTACCCGTTAAAGTTGGCACTAACTTCGCCGACAAGCGGCGGTCGCTCGTTCGGTATAGTTCCCTTGCGGACTAAACCCACGGAGTTTTGGAAATAACTGATAACGTATACGTTTCATTAACGGAGAAACGTTACTGCAGTGATAAAGCAAACAGAAAAAATTCAAATTCGTCCGCATTATGATGCAGGTACTTCGTAAACGAGGAAAATGTAATATTATGCAATCTGTATACACTATAACCTGACATAATACTTATTCATATGTCTTGCCCCAGTAAGTAATTAACGATATTAATCATATTGAAGACCAAACTTATTTTTTGCAGGATCTCCATGCTTGTTTTCATTTTCCATTATATGACAATTAAAGTAAAATGGGTTTCCATGATCTATCTTTACAAAAATTCGAGGGCTCTAAACTGATTGATACTATCACTACTCCCACCTCAGAATTTAGTGAGCTGCCATATCGCTATCGGTGAAAATGGGATTTTAAAAATGTGAACAATCAGCGGCGTCTAGTGGCATAACAACTGTACCGTGTTTCATGCACATCAGTAAATTGGTTTTGGAGTTATTAGTGTATATTATATGAGAGTCTTAATTTTCTTACATTTCAATATATGGTGTACTGCTGAAAACTTACGTGACTTCAATCAGCTCGCAATTCTCAAGTCTTTTCCTTGGACCAAGTTCAACTACAGCCACAGTTTGATCGTGATAATACACCTGCTTCACCGAATCACTTTTTACCCAAAGACCACTGAAACCTTTATAAGGGGATGTTTCCGCTGGTGTGCGAGAAGATGATTGAGCCTTGACTAACAGAGGAGCGACGGCCAATATCGCTAGTCCAGCAATAGTTAATGGAAAAAATACTCCATTCGAAATTGTCCTCATTTCTCTTCCTCGAGAAACTGTCTGTACTTCTGCGATTATATTGTCAGATGATACACGTATGTCAAGAAGTCGATGATCCGAAATTGACATGCTTTGATTAAAACGATTCAGTGAACTGTGTTTGTATTCCAGAATTGTTGGGACTTCACACACTGATTCACGCTAGCACAAATTACGGTGCGGTGGTGATTAATTGTGTTATTGAAGATAGAACAAGAATATTTATAACGACTGAAACAGAAAATAAATCGTATACTTTCATTGTGATTTGTTGATACGAGAAACGAACGTAATTTCTTGGCCCTATCTACAGTTTTTGAAACGATTGAACGCTTTACAAGGCCGCTAGAACTGCTTACACTCCCACCACAATAAGAAGCGATGAGAAGCGAGGCGAACCGTTAGCTACTGAGCAAGCCGTAAAACTGGAAGTGTGTCTGAGGACACGAAATGAAAGCTGCTTATATACGTTGCCAAAGGAGGGGGGATCAACCAGACTCCCGTGAAAGCTGGACTTATTCCTTTCAGTGTATACTGAATTGAGAGAGAGAGAGAGAGAAAAAAGTATAAATTTGAAATCAGCTGTAGTGATTATACTTAGTGAAACTCTTTTCTGATATGATTTGCCAATAATACCATTCATGTCGCCACCAACACAGAAAGCTTTCTTATCCGGGGCTGAAGAGTAAAAATGAATTTCTTATGCATTTGATTCCTTGGTCAATCGGCGACGCTGCTTGGCTGCACAGAATCAAAAGATCCGGCCTGGGAAGACATAGGAAAATAACAAAGAACTAATTTAGGTTCAATGGTAACATGACCTAGAATCCATTCGGGTCTTTTCCAGATACTAGTTTGGAGCAGTGCTCCACAGCTACTTTTGTTAGAAAGAAGCTAAGTTCGAAATTAAGTTATTAAATCTTAAATGTTAATTGTTCCGAGTTGAGCATTTTTTTTCGGTAGTAAATATATGCCTCCACCCTTCTATTATTGACATATAATTCTTATCATTATTGGGTTTTGAAAAGTTCTATTTGATGAACCTTCCACGGCCGGCAGGGATCCATTTCTGTTTACCGACGATAGAAGTGGTCCTGTGGGCACCTGAAGTTTTCCTTGTCCTTAACTAATTAAGCATTACGCCATGAAGACGTATGAGGTTCGTGTGGACACCTACGAGTTATTTTTAAACACAATTGGCATATGTCCTATTATCACGTTATTCGGTGATATTTTCCACCAACATATCACCGATTTACGTGCGGAAAGTCTATGTCCTTGAAGACAAAACTTTAACAAAGGCAAAATATCTCCCTCCATGCGAACTGATTCATCGCCTCGTGATTTTGTTCTCGCATTCACTCGTCCAGTTTTTCAGCTTTATTCCATCTATTTCCTATATACCTCCTCACTTTATAATGGACATGGAATTTGTAGCACATGTGGTTCTCACAGAGATGGTTATGAAGAGTTCTGTCTTCTGGGATATAACGCCGTATAGTCCGGTGAATCAATCGAATCGGGATTCATTGCGCTGACCACGCGACACTCTCTATCCGCTAAAGATGACACTAACTTTGCCGACAAGTGGCGGTCGCTCAGTCGGTATAGTTCGCTTGCGGACTCAAGCCACGTAGTTTGTTTTATTCAGTATGAACTTCGGAAAATGTCCAGGAAGCTAGTTATAAAGTAGCTGAACTTACAAGAGAAACAAGAAGAGCCACATACAACAGCCCATACATTACTCATGCCAGCCTGCAAAGGAATGGTGAAAACAGTTATGGGTCCGTAAGCTGCTAGTGAAATTTCTCAAGTTCCTACATTAGCTGACACTGTTGGTCGCAAAGTTAGTGATATATCATGTGACAATGAAGTAATCTGGGATGGGGTAAAATTAATCTCAGGAGGAAATTCTCCAATCAGACTTATGAGTCTACTGATACTGATGTTCACATTCCGACTTATCGCTGAAGTTTGACACATCAGAGATATGATCACAGCAACTCTGTTTTCTTCAAGGAACTTCCAGAGTGAGCAACCAACAATGAGGCATTCCAAGCTACTGGCGAATATCTTCGCAAAAATGGAATACAATGGAAAGGATCTGGTGTCTGCAAGTGGAAGAGTCATCAATTGCGGGTAAAATGAGAGCTTTCATAGCAAAAATATGAGAAGTGAATCCAGAAACAGCACTTGACCATTGTCTTATTTATTCCAAATCCATTTTTGTCAAGACTTTCCTTGGTGTTCTAAAGAATATGCTAAACAAAGTTATAATAATTAACTTCATCAAACCGCAGCTCCTTAATTCATGGTTTATCTTCTGATTTGTGCCAGTTATTGCAATGTGAACACACCTCTCATTCTTCACACAAAGTATGACAGTGTTAAATTTGTTTTTAACTTCGTAGTGGTGTGCAAGCGCTTACACATCCTTTCTAATCTATTATTCACTATCACCTAATCATTCAGCATTCTACTGTATAGTCTGAACTACTTCCACCGTTGTCATCAAAACAACTACAAATAAATACATAAATAAATGGAGAATGGCTAATCCCCACATACCTTCCTGAGTCTTGGTCATTTGGAAGTAGGTTATAATCTGTTTTAGACTTGAAAATTTCCTTTCAGTGGATGCAGTTGCATAGGAATAGCCATAATTATTCTTGGTTGAATAAAGACATGCAGATACACCTCTCTTATGTTTCCCTGACAGTGAACATGAAAGAACATGAAACATATGAATTGTAGTAAATGTCTGCAAATCTTAAAGATTACTGTCTTCTCAAATGAGAAGTTGTGTATTTTGATGGACAGGCACCAACATTTTGGAGAAATCTAATATCTCCAGCTTCATGGTTTTCTTCTATCAAGATGGAGGCAGCAGGTTCCTCTGAAATGCTGGTACCTATCTACCAGATTGTGTGAGGTCACACCTTGTAAGACAATATCTTCATAGTCATCACCACGAGAACATCAAATCTCAACTTACGCTTCACACAGTTCATAAGACCCAATATTAGAATCATCATAAAACAAAATATTTTTCTTTCACAACTCACCAGTATTCTAAAGTTTTTATTCATTATATGTGGGGGGGGGGTTACCTAAAAAAATTAACAGATTTATTATATGACTCAAATCAGGTTTGAATATTTGCTCTAATTCAATTAACCGTTATGCTAAAATATAATGCTTGGAATCAAACTTCTGGATTTGTTAGAATAGGTTCTCCAGCATTGTACATGTGTTATAATATCTTTTTCTGTGACTTGTTCATAACTGATAAAGATGCATCACTTATCTAAGTGAGTTTAAACTTCATGCCAAAGTTGATGTATTCTATCAACAACAGACCAAACTTCATACCAAGTGATCAGTGATGGTACAAATTCGAGATCTGTCATTCCATTTAAAACTGATTTCACAGGTCATGGATTCCAAATCATCATACATTTCATGAAGACTTCAATGGCACCACAAATGTCATTCAACTGATATCCTGAAGCGCTGACATTATTGGTCTGCATTACCATCATATCTGAGAAAAGAGGTTTCTAAATTATAAGTATTTGCAATTTTTGGTTTAAAATTGCCCACATCTTCGAAGATCTGGAGAAAAAAGTGTATGCTCTTCCTAGAGAGTAGAGCTATCCCTGTAAGAGGTCGTGAAGGCCCAAAGGGTTGTGAGACATTGAGGGTCCCACATTATCTAGCCAATCGGCTCAAAGATGGTGGTAAGGATGTCAGCCTTACGCACCGACCATGCTTTACTCCCCAGGAAAATTATTTAATTAATTCCTGGTACTCATTTCTGTTAGAGGCTGAGTAAACCCCAGGGCCATAGTGTGGTTGGAAGGATTAGATCAATTGAAAGAAATCCAATGACCTCATCGGGACTTGAACCCGCGACTAAATGTTCATCACTGTTGACAATTTGTTGGCATCCCCTAACAGCAAATTCCAGTTCAGAATCTATCTCAAGCTTTTCTCTTTCTGCGGATCAAGTAACAATGTGCTTAAGAGTAAAGATTCCTTCACAGACCTGATGGGCTGATAATTTCTGGGAGACCACCGCAGTCTGGTAGATGGGTAGCAATATTTTACACAAAACCTGATGCCACAATCTTCAGAACAAACTTCATCTTCACTTCAACCCTTAAGATGGAAGCAGCAGGTTCCTTTGAAATGTTGGTACCCATCTACCAAACTACACGGCATCACATACCAGAAGACCATAATCTTAGATACTGACTGACATGAGAGCCTTAATCTCATGATGACAATGAAGTATGATGGGGAAAATAAGTGAACTGATAGTAGATTCTTGGGCTATTTAACTAAGCTTTGCAAGTGCATAGGTTATATAGCATTGAATGGTATGACTGTAAATGACAAACTGGAGTATATACAAAGCTGCAGTCAAGGTCAACTATTCCACAATTTTCAGAGTGACTGAAAAAAAAACATGAAAAACATATCAGGATATACTGATAGTCGACCAGAATTTGAACCCGCAATCTCTAGAACATGTCAAGAACTACATAATGATTTTCAGTGCCCCCAGCCAAATATTCATTGAGCAACTGGATGTGTATATTTTACAGATGTGATGGTGATATGAAGTGTATTGTATAACTGTATACTGTTGGGAAAGGGGTCTCTCATGGCTGCTCTCACTGTATTCTGAACTATGGTCCACAAATGCAAATCAATGGCAAAATTTTAATACAGTGCAATCATGATACTTACAAAATATGTCAAACACATTCTTCAGCATTGCTCATATAGAAAACATGATATGTAAAAAGTGACTAAATACTGTATTTGCATATGTATTAGCTGTACTTTTTTGAGAAGAATTATCCTCCAAAACACTGTGCAGCTTATACACAAAATATTAGGTATCTTTTTAATAGAAAAGCTACATCCACCAAAACAAAGGAGTTATTATAAAGACAACTGCGCCTGCAACACCATAACTGTATGCTGTAAAACCACAAGTACAGGCAGTTAATGCATGAGAAAAATGAAAAGTGTTAAACTGAACTTCCAAGAACCGATACTCTGCTGTTGTTAATTTGCTGGTAACATTTCCTCTGTAAAATCAATTATATATATGCAAAAATAATTACTTGAACAAAGAAACATGGCAATAATATTATAATTAACTGTTCTTCATGCTGGTTTCTTGCTTGTATTAAACTCCGACTTCAAAGATGGAGGCAACATGTTCCTCTGAAATGTCAGTTGACTTTCATTGAACTACATGGCATTATATCTCTGATGACAAGTCTTCATAACCACGACTGTGAGAACCTCAAATCCTACAAAGTACCCAAGTTCATTACCTAGTATTCTGCAGTCTCAGTTGGAGCCTCCTGGCAACATTTTTCATGGAACCAATGCCA